GTTTGTTGTTTGTTGTTTGTTGGTTGCTGGTTGTTGGTTGTTGGTTGTTGTTGTTGTTTGTTGTTTGGTTGTTTGTTTGTTTGTTTGTTTGTTTGTTTGTTTGTTTGTTTGTTGTTGTTGTTGTCGTTGTTGTTGTCGTTGCTGTTTTTCATGCCAAATACCATAATGATAACACCGAGAATTGAGCATTGAGACTATTGTTATGCGGTGATCATCCGCTAAGAATCAGCCCAGGAAAGAAGTCCAGAGCGCCATGAAGTTCGTCTTTGGCCCGTGCGCTTCCGAAGCTTTGAAAACAACATTTGCTCAGAGAGCCTTGCATGACGGGGGTTCGAGGTTTAGGGTTTAGGGTGTATGGGTTAAGGGTTCATCGAGCTTTACAGAGTTGGTGGGTTCCATAGATTCATAAATGAAGTATGTAGGGAGCTTTATTGGGCTTTTGGGTGACCCTGCGCTCACATCCGGAAACCTCCACCTGGGCCTATGCGTCCAAGTGTTGAAAAAGGAAGCTTCAGCAAAAAATATGGGCTGCCAAGCTCGAACGCTATATTATGGAGTGCGTATTGAAGGGACCCTCCTCGTCCAAAAAACAACCTTTATAGCTTGAAGCCACGGAACACCTAAAACGATTCCTTTACTTTGCTGAAGGAATCTGAGATATAGTGTCCTCTTCCATAGACGTTTCACCCATACCGGTCGTCAAACGCACAGAAATTCAGGACTAACGGCAGCCGCCCGCACGCTGCTTGACAGGCCTGTTTCCCATGACTGTTGGGCCTTTGTCGCCCGAAACCCTGGAACCCCCGATCCGCAAACGCTCGAGCTAGACCCCAGCTTGCATCCCCAATCCGTATATATATATATATATATAGTAGGTTATGACCCCGTTATCATAAGGTATACAGCCTTAAAGAAACAGGGGGTTACTTGGAGCCCCAGACAGTACCGAAGATGGGGGCTTGAATAGTTACTAACACGAAAATTCATGCCTCAGGGCTCCTAACTATATCTTTAGGGTTTAGGGTTTAGGGTAGGGTTTATACCACACAATACGAGACCCTATTGAAATTGTAATGGCCCGGATAGTGTAGAACCCTACATAGCGACGCCTCATGAAACCCTACAAGACCCACGTAAAACCCGTGCGAAGTCCTGCTCCTACGGTTGATGATATAAATCCTGCAATACCCATCATGAGGAATATACCATAATTCCCATAGCTTTGGATCCTTAAGGTAATGCAGGGTTTCCATCACCAACCCTAACCCTAAACCCTACGCCCCAAACCCTAAACCGTATGATTTACATCATCAACAGCATGTTAAGCAGCAGGTACATGGTGTGCGACACTGCGGAGACGGCGAAGATGCTAACCTTCCACCCCAACGTGCGCGTTCGTACCGTCACCCGGGATGGGGACAGCTACGCCGCCTGGCTGAAGTAGGTTTCGGATATAGGGTTATGTAGGGTTTGCGGTTTAGGGTTGAAGGCTTCCAAAGTTTGCGATTTGGGCTCAGGGCAAGATCTAAGCACATTCAGCCCCGATACCCCTAAGCCGTTGAGACCTGAGCTTAAGCTCAAATCCCTGAGCCTCCACCGTTTCTTGTCCTTAGATGTTCAGAGCCGGGGGTTGCAAATTCAGGCGCTTCTCGTGTCCACTGTCCCCGCTCTGAATGATCAGGTTTTGGAAGATGACACAGGTCACGGGTAGAGTTTTGGGGTTGCGGGGATCTGGCTCCTCGTAGCCTGAAGTCTCAACAAGGCCTCTTCTTTGGGATTGTCGGTTCTTTATTTGCCCTAAACTTCACCCCTTGAAGGAATTTTAGGCCTTCTCTGGGAGTGTTCAGGCGGCTTGGTATGTAGGTTACACGTCGGGTTGCAAGGAGCTTCGCTTGGGGCTAACCTACTAACAAAGCTCAGGTGTATCTCCAAAGACCTGTGTTTTTTGGGCTCACCACCTTGTTGTGAAACCCCCTATATCACCTTGCATTTAAAGAAGTATGGTTTTTCTGGGCTGCAGATAGTACTTGCCGTTTCCATTGTAGTTCCTGTTTTGGGTCGCCTTCTAGGGTCTTAAACCTAAAGTGATGACGAAGCCAAAAAACAAGGAACTACACTGGCGACTATAGGTAAACCCTAGACGCAAAACCCCTAAACCCCGCCGCGTCCTCGACGTGCTTCGATTTATTCAGACGTCTCCTTTAAAGGGCTCCTACTAAACCGATAGCCCTAAACCGCCCTCAACTCCTAAGCTCAAACCGCCCAGTTCCCACACCTTATTCACAGGTTTTGTAACGCTATATTGGGAGTTTCCAAAAATTAGGGTACCTTATTTTGGGGGTCCTTATAATCAGGATCCTATTATTTAGGGTACTATATTAGGGTCCCCTATTTTCGGAAACCCCCTAATATCATGCACCGCTTTCTGATTTGTTCGCCTCAGGACCCGGCTGGCACCATTACCGGCGGCTCCGCTCCGAAGGGTGGCAACCTGCTCCAGAAGCTGCAGCAAGTGCCCGGCAACCCAGGTTTCGGGACCGTTGCTTTCAAGACTTAGGGTTTCGGGTTTAAGGTTTAGAGTTCAGGGTTTAGGGTTTCGGGTTTAGTATAGGGTCCACGGCTTAGGGTGTTAGTGGTTTGAGGGTTTTGCGTTTTGTGTTTGCTTGTTTTTGAAAGTCTGTCGCGCGTGAGTGAGTGTACACGTGGCGGTAGGTCTCATGGCCTTGGGTTTCGGCCCTTGGGAGTCATTGGCATCGGGGCCCTAAACCCTATACCCTAAACTCCTATACCCTAAACTCCTAAGCCCCTAAAATTACCCTTAAACCTAAACCCTAAACCCAAAATCGCGCTCAAAGCCCCAATGCTCAGGCATCCGGGCCCTGATGTGGGAAATCCTGTGTTCCTCCTTCATCAAAGGCCTGACTATGCCCTAGTTTTCCCGAAACACCCAAACTCACGAGTTCTAAGCCCTAAACCCTAAACC